GGAAAACAATTAGGACTGTGGTCGCCAACATGTGGTCACACAATTCAAAACAACACACGGGTGACATGTGTCAGCCCGAAACCCGTGTGAAAAAAGTCACTTGTTCCACTCGCTTTCTGGACGCCAACATGGGGTCACACAGTGTGAAACAACACACGGGTGACACGTGTCACCCCGAAAACCGTTTGAGAACAACCAATTGTTTCACTTGTATTCTGGACGCCAACATGGGACCATACAATCTGAAACAACACACGGGTGACACGTACCACCCCGAAAACCGCGTGAGAAAAACAACAATTGTTTCACTCGTGTTCTGGGAAGGCCCATTGTGGCGTGCAACGCAATGCCCCGCGACGACGACGACGAAAGAGGACGACAACGACGAATTGTGGGCGCCTTCGATTTGCTGGTGCCACTGCTCTACTCGTTTTGCCGTCAATTGTGCCTGTCGTTGCTCCCCTTCCTCTTGCCGTAGTGGCGTGTAGTTCTACTTGCGTTTGTAGTTATGCTTGTTATAACTCTTGGACCTGAGCCCGTGTCTGGTGGTAGTCGCTTGACCAGTAGTCGTTGGCCGTCTGAAGTTGCTGGATATTGCCTTCGGCTTTGAGAAATCGGTGTGGTAGGTTTGAGTCCTGGGTCCTGTCCTTGCTGGCTGTCCGAAGTGCTTGGGTTATATGGTCACTGGCGTGTAAGTCGTCGAGTGCCTGTTTAGGAGTGGCTTCAGCCATTTGGTCTCCTCCTGCTTGTCGTGGCTTGCTGTAGTCGCCTTGAGTGGCTAGGGTGGTTACTCGTTGTCTTGGGTACTTACTGGTTGAGCTGTACGTCTTGTGCCAGTGGTGATGGCGTCTGCGGTGCGTGGGCTTGGTGTGTGTGTTGTCTGCGGTTGACGGAATCCTGTTCAAAGTTCGTGTACGTGTTTGTCATTCGTATGTTGTCGCCGTGTCGCTGTTGGGCTTGTTTGAGGTTTGCAGCTGGTATCTTTGTGCAGCCCATATAATCGTCCACAGCTGTCGCATGTACTACGCTAACTCGTGCTCTGGTTGTTGGTCGAACAGTTGTCGCCTGATGACGGCTAGGTCGTGTCTAAGGTGGTCCGCTGCCTGTCCAGATGTTTCTACTGCAAGTAGTTGTGTGGCCAGTTTTCTGATGTATGCTGTCTTGGATGTGGTCCATGTTTCCACTTCCAATGCAGCACCTGGTCCGTATGTTACCTGAACATCGTCATGGCATGTTTCAAGGATTCTGCCAATGAGTGTTTGGGCCTCTCAGCTGACGTAGGCGAAGTGGTCAGGACTGCTGCCAAAGCTGGGCCAAAGCTGGGTTGGGGTGGCTGGTCGCTGTGTTTGTTGTGGTGATGTGTGTCACTGTTTGGTCCTCTGTTCCAATATGGCTGAGCGCTGTTGGCTACGAGTGTACGATTGTTGGGTCCAACAAATCGTCGCGGGTGCTGTCTGGTGGCTATGGTCTCCGTGTTGGTGCATGTGGGGTACCCGTGGTGGTTGGTAAGTTGGTGGTTGTTGTGCCTGGTTGGTGCAACCGCTGTGGCCTACTGGTTGCCAAGTGGGGTTCGTGCCGTTTCCGTAATACTGCTGTTGGTGTTGGTGTTTCCCCTTGCCCTTGCCTTTGGCTTGGGGTGACTGTGCGTGACCGTGCATATCTGTGGTTGTGGAACGTGGTGATTGGTGTGCACTGTGGTGCTGGTTGAGCAAGTGTTGTGCAGTTTGAAGCTACTGGTGGGTCGTGTGATCCAGTAGCGCCCTTGCTGATGCGACTCGCAATAGTGTCCGTGCTGCCGCTCTTCTTTCCAATTCCCGTCGCTGCCAGGCGGGGTTAAAAGTTGGCGTGGTCGTCGGGAGCTGCTGGTTATGGGCGCCAGATGTAGTCGTCGAAGTAGTGGCGCTTGGCCCAAAATCCCAACAAGTGGCACTGCGTAGCGCGAGAAACAAACAAGATGTATCGAGTGAAATATGAGAGATGAGAAATGGGATGTAACGGGATGTGTGGTACGCTACGACAGTAATGGGAGACGAGGCCGACTTGAGGTTGGTCTGCGCACTGCTCTCGACGCGCCCCAGGGCTCCTCCTCCTTCTCCTCCTCTTCTCCTTCCTCGTCTTGTTCCTCCTCCTCCTCCTCCTCCTCCTCCTCCTCCACCTCCACCTCCACTTCCTCCTTCTCCTTTTCCTTTTCCATGCCCTCCTCCTCCTCCTCCTCCTCCTTTTCCTCCTCCTCCTCCTGCCCTTCTTCCTCCTTTCATCACCCTTCGTTCCGTCGTGCGGGTCGGCGCTATACCGCACGTGCGCGTCTCAACTCTGCGGGAGCCTTCTGGACGCAGATGGCAGGAGGTAGGATGATGCGGGAGGACTCGGGAGGACCTGTCGATTTCAGAGGCGCTCTGTTTTCTGTAAGGATCTCTCTCCAAATCCTATATAAAGTAATTGTTTTTTGTGGATTACACAGGCGCCTCATTTTGTCAGAAGGATTATATATATGTATATGCAGCAATGGTGCTATGTTGCACACGGTTGCTGTGGTGCACACAGGCGCCGTGGTGTGCACAGGCGCTGTGGAGCACGCAGGCACTCTGATGTACAGTGGTGATGTGTTGCGCACGGAAGCGGTGTACATAAGCATTGTGGCGCACGATGGCGATGTGTTGCACGCGGCTGCAACGGTGTACATAGGCGCTGTCGTGTACACACGCGATGTGGTGAACGCAGGCACTGTGGTTCACACGGGCGCTGTGGTGCAAATTGCCACTTATATGGTGTTCCTACCCGTCCGCGGTCATTCCTGGGCATTCCGGGACGCCGCTGGCGCGAAACGTGATATCACTGGCCCCTCTCTCCCCCCTCTCAGTGACGGCCGCCATCGCCCCGGGGGAAAGCAAAATTTCAAGATGCGCGCGGTGAGAGAATTTTTGCAAACAACGAATAACATCCAAATGGAGGAAGCAGAAAATAATGGAATGAGGTCGGGCGAGAGGCGAACAACAAATTGACAACGCCCAAACAACTTGGCACGCGCAAGCGCCGGACAGAACAAAACGAACGATATTCCAAAATATTGGCGACTCGCGAAAAATGGGACGGGGGCGGGGGCCCAGCGCACTTAGAAGGAACAAATCTAGCGGCCTGCTAGACACTACTGGAGGCCTCGTCGCGAAGAGGCGCTGCAAGAACGAACGCGTCGTCCCATAAGATCTGCCCAAACACGCCGCACGAAGCATCGCTGTGCGGGGGCAATCCACCCATGCAAGACACGTCAGCTGGCAGGCGAAAAGGGCGATACGTGCCGACGAATCCATAGCGCTATCATGCCGCAGCAACCACATCACTACTCATGCGAACTCCTCTGAACAACGCGAGCGTGCGTCGCGGCAAACGAACACGCGCAAGACCATCGATGGGAATATCTACGGGAAACACGCTGCAAGTGGCAAGTCCGCAACATTACAAGAAAGCACTGCGTGCAAAAAAGAAGCACTTGCCAACAACAGCAGCAATGAAACATCAACTCAACAACATACATACAAAGTACGAAATATCAAGAACTGTTGCATTATGTGTTCTTGCGCGGCCATCCACTTTGATTGGGCGCTTGCAGCAACGGAAACACAGAAGGAAGCAACATACGTGAACGCTGTTAATCGCCATCAGGCTGGCCTACGCTTATGGTTCCACCGGCTCTTCGGGGCTAACGGTGGCAAACATTGACCCCTGGCGGCAATCAGAAAATACAAAGGACACCGAATAAACCCAAGGGGTCAACGGTATGGCGTAAGACGCAGAAATCCACGTCCGGAGGTGACGTGCTGAGCGACAGCGTTTTTCGGCGAACGCCTTAATGCAACGTAGCCAAAGCATCCAAAGATTCCATAATTGCAACGCATTGTATTGTAATACATTATCATGTCTCCCCCAACCCCCCTGGGAGCCGCGCCACAGCGCCGTACCAAACTGATCGCCCCCTTCTGGGGCCCTCACGACATACAAACACCTATTCGAAATCATAAATTTCGGCCTCTTGGGCCTCTTGGGGCTCCAAGAGGGCCTCAAGAGGGCCCAAGATGGCCCCAAGATGGCCCAAGACGGCCCCAAGACGGCCCAAGATATTCCCAACGGGGGCCCATGAGGCCCCCAAGACGGCCCCGAGAGGGCCCCCAACGCCCCAAGGACGGCCCAAGAGGGCCCCAAGGGCGCCCACAACTGCGCATCCAGAGGCCGAAATCATTGATTGTCCTATGGTGTTTGCAGTATCTTAGCGTTCTCGCTTTTTCGACTCTCAAAAATCCATGACGGCCCAAGCAGCTCCCAGAATCGCCCCAAAAGAACCCAAAAAGCCCCCAGGAGGGCCCCAAGACGGCCCAAGAGGACCCAAAACGGCCCAAAGAGGCCCCCAAGACAGTCCAAGAGGCCGCGAAGACGGCCCAGGAGGACCCCAAGAGGGCTCCAATGCGGCCGCGAGAGGCCCCCAAGACAGCCTCCGAGGGGGCGAAACGGAGCAAAAGCGCCCCAAGACGGCCCCAGACGCCCCCGAGAGGCCCCAAGAGGCCCCCAAGAAGTCCCCCAGAAGCCTCCAAAATGCCGCCCAAAACCCCCCCAAAGGCCACACAGCGACTGGAGTGGTGTAATGTTATTTTCCCCCCTCTGGGCGAACTGCGGCGCAGCGCCAGCCACGTGGAAGTTGGTCACTGCGGCGCCCATGATTAGAGCCGGCGCTGGAAGGGAAGATGGGGAGGGTGTATGAAAAGGAGGGAGGGGGGAAAGGCCCCAAAGAAGTCCCCAAGAGGCCCAAAGAAACTCCCAGGAGGCCTCCAGGAGGCCTCCAGGAGGCCCCCAAGAGGCTCCCAGGAGGCCCCGCGACGACGTGACTGTACGTGCTCCGGACGTGCACCCCGCGAAGCGAGAGGAATACCCTCCGTCCGTCTCATCCTCATCCTCCTCGTACTGTTCCTCTTCACGTGGATACAACGTGGGGTCCACGCCCAGGCGGCCGCCTAGTCAACGACGCCTTCTCGTGGGATAGCCTGTAGAGCTTCGCCTCGAGCCTGCACCGAGGCTGGAAGAGCGAGGCGAGAATGGGGAACGAGATGAGCACAAGGGATGCACCGCCATACATAGGACGGCATGGGCATCACGTACGATAGGCGCCGCCGCATCCACAGAGCCCCCCCCTCGGGCAAGGGAGATGGGGTCTGGCGACCAAACAAAATAACGTACAGTCGCGGGTTCTTTTCGTTACCATTCGCCCCGCCTTCCCCTCTAGGCGGCCCCACAGACCAGAAGGAAAAAAAACACGCACACCACCCCAGACCAGAAACAGAAAACACCCCAACAGAACACTGCCGCCAAACATATCCATACTCACCGCTTCGGAATGGCGCAAGGAAACCTCGAGGAGCGGTGGATGCAGACACACTCCTGCCCGCAGGGGCGGGCAACGATACCAGGGCAGGGCTCCGAAGGGGGAGATAATAAAGAACATATTCTAGCGGTGGAGGGGCGGGACGTATAAATCGAAAGCTTGACGCAGATCTCAGGAATCTCTGGAAGCCTCTGGGAACCTCGGAAGCCTCCAGAGACCACTGGAAGCCTCCTGGGGGCCTCCACATACGCCTGGAGACACTCGACTTAAGAGAAGGCAGAGATGAGAAGGAAGAAGGACGGACACCCCGGCGCCCCAACGGTTGATAGCGCCGCCTCACAAGTGCCGCGGGACTTCTGGCGGTCCCTCGCGCTGCGCGCCTCACTCTGGCGCCAAGGCCTGCGGAGATCCTCGGGAGTCGGTCACGGCGGCTAAGCAAAGCGGGGCCGAAGCAGTTCCAGAAGAGCCAGGGGGTGAGAACAAAAAGGCAGATTGCTCGGCGCGGCTGCTCGGGCGGGTGCCGGTCGGAGGAGCTTGACTTTGCCCGCCGGATTCTGTTCTGCGACGCCCTGGGCAGGCTGCGCAGCCGGCGTGGAAGATGGATGGAAGCAGACACTGGGCTGGCGCGCAGAACCGACAACGGTTGAACTCACTCGACCAGCATCGCATCTCTCCTTCCCATGACTGTTACCATGGGCGTGCGCCATGAGTCAAAACCAAATCATAGAATGCCACACTGAGCGAGGATTAAAGAGATCAGAACTTCAGAGAGAGAATTGGGGTGGTACAAACTAGAATAGAGAAACGTGGAGCGAGTGGCAATGGAGAGTAGCAAAGAGATAATACAAAGAAGTGGGAACATAGATTTGCAGCGAGGCAAAGGGGGAGAGCGGTATAACAAACAAAGAAGGGAGACGGAACAGATAAGAAGAGCTTCGCCAGCCCCCCTGTGGGGCCTCCAGGTTAGGAACCGTCACGATGCACTTGCTGTGGATGCCGTTTTGCAAGCCTTCCCTTGGCTCTCAAAAATGTTTTCCGATCAACCCCGAATTATCGCTCCCAAGGGCACGATTCTCAGTAGACGGGACGGGGATCGACTTCCCGGGGTCATTGCCGATCGCAAGCCACGAACAGTCAACGCTTCCGAGACCACGACATCTGGTAAATTTCAACGCGTCCACGCTCCCATGGTAAAGATCCCAGGTCAGTCACTACGGGCCCGCGCTGTCAGGCCAACGATCATCCAAGTACAATGTCTTGATGGATCCAGCCTCCCAGGGCTGGCGACTGACTCGTGCCACTATCACTCGTACGTTGAGAGGAATCCGCGCTCTCAGGGCCGCGCCCCATCGTAAATAAATGATTCTGGCGCCCGACCCATATGAATTACGCGACGATACCAAAGGGCGATGGAAAAGATTACATGGAGGCGGATTGTTTAAGGAACGCGATGGTTTGTGTAGTCGGAATGGGAGTCTGACGCGTTGCACGATTCACGGGGCATGTTTGGGTGCGACAGTAATTCCAGACATGGCGTTGCAAGAGAGCAGAGGAAACAGGTGGTCGAACATGAATATGACAATTAACATGACAGCAGACACAAAGAAGGGCATGAAGGACATGAAAGGCGGGGTCTCGTCTGGAACTGCGTAAGGACGTCACCCCGCTGGACCTCCCAAGAGGCTCACGAGCGCGGCGTCACTCGGGCAGCTCGCAGCCCCCATGGAGGACGAGGTTCCGTTTGAATGGGTCCGCGTAGAACGCCCCCCCCCCCCCCCACCCGTTGGAAATCACAAAGGCCCGCAAATTTGGCGATAGTCTTTCACTTGGCAGCTCCGAGGGGGGAAGCGGTCTCGGCAGGGCGCGCGCAAAACACTTGTCCGACAGAACCCTCCCAGAAGCCTAAAGAGGCGGCGACAGACTCGCGGCTCGCACCCCCGAAGACGGCGAGATTTCATTTCAATCCGCCGCGCATGACGTCACACCGCTGGGCCCACCAGCGCCCATGGAGGGCAAAGTCTGATTCTCACCCACGTGAGATGTCGCCCGGGTGGTTTCCCAAAACCCCTGTACCCCCCGGCGGGAGGACAAAATCTCAGTCTGCCCCGCGGATGACGTCACTCCGCCGGACCTCTCAAAGGGCCAACGGGGGGGCGCCACTTTCAAAGATCGCAAACCCCAATGGCGAAGGACGCCGCGTGTCTAGAAAGGCGCACGAGCACGCCGCAAAACGCAGACAAACGCCCGCGCGCAGGGGGCAGCACGAATCCGCTGCCCCGAGGTGGAGCATACGTGGACGGAATGGAGGAGCAAGAGGAAAGAAGAGAGGAGGCATGAGACAGGGGAACGGACGCAGACCAGGAAAAAAGAGCCAGGACGGCGGACTGGCGAAAGATGTCACGTAGCCAAGCGCCGCCCCCCCCCACGCGGTCGCCGGGGCGGCGGCAATATCCAATAGCTCAAACCGGCATTCACACACGCGCGACGATTGCGTTTGCAAATTCTCCGGGCCACGCCGCGAAGGGGGCAGCCCGCGACGCCTGGGTGGGTTTTCGAGTTCCACGGTCAGCAGTTCCAACGCCGCGCTGCGCAGGGGGGGGGGGGGCATCGCGCATCCGCGCGATTTCCCTAAAAGAACTCAGTGGCGCCCCAACGATAAATTGCTCAATGTATTTCGCCTCGCCCGGCAGAAAACAGCGCGGTTGGTACCATCGCGACCACCCCGCGGCTTCTTTGCCCCCTTCATGTCTCCCCCTGGCTTTCAAAGAGGTGCACCACTGGAGCACCCGTTTGCCGCGATATGCCTGTGCCAGTCCAAGAGCGAGAAGGCGAAGCAAGAGCCCTGGGCGGAAGAAGAAGAGAGATAGCTCGGGTACGCGGAATGGTACCTGCGCGCTCAAACTTGACCTTCCTGGACGCCTGAGCCACATTCTTGAGCCAATATGGTTACGGTCAAATTCTGACAGCGTGCAGTCAACCCGTACAATAAGGAAGCACGATAAGGACGCAAGGGCCTTGGAAGACCATGCCGACACTTTGCGGGCGAGGCGCGGCCAGAGAAAGCAGCCAAGGACGGGCCGAAGGGAAAGGATGCAAGGGTAACCTTGGAAAGTTGTTCATCCTTACTATGCGGGTCACTGTATGACGTCACCAATCTGGGCCTTCCAGGAGCCAACGAAAGTGGGGACGTAAGTTTCCCATTTCGCAGCCCCAAGGAGAGCGAGGTCTCGTCCCGATACTTATGCGAAAGACACCACTCCGTTGGGCATCCCAGGAGCCCATGAGAGTGGCGACAGTCTCGAACTCGCAACCAACAGCGAAGACGAGGTCTCACTCGGGTCCGCGCAAGACGTCACTCCGCTACGCCCCGCAAGAATCCGTGAAAATGACGCCAATTCCGAAATCCGCATGCGTGTGGCGTCACTCCGCTGCCCCCCCCCCCCCCAGGAACCAACGAAAGCCGCGCCTGTTCCGCAAATCGCAGCACCCAAGGAGGGCTAGGTCAGAATCTGCTACGCGTATGACGTCACTCCGCTGGAACACCCAGAAACACACGGAAATCGCGGCACCGGGGCGAGGCTTCAGCCTGATCCGCGTAAGACGTCACTCCGATGTGCCCCGCAAGAGACACCAAAAATGGCGACCCCGAGACCACCAGCAGGCCCCTAAGAGGCACCCGAGAAGGCCACAAACTACGCCCCCAAGGAACCCCCGATAAGCACACAGAAAAACCTCGAAGAGCCTTCCAAAAGGCCTGGTCAGAGATCACCACAGGCATCAAGAGGCCTCTGACCTGCAACCCAGACTCGGTGTCGGGATGGGCCGAAGGCCACTAGACATGGCCAATCATGATCTTCTCCTCCTCCTCCTCCTCACCGACTCCTTTTCCTACTAAATAGCTCCCCCTGTCGCTCCCCGACATGTGTAGGTAGCCCGGGGCAGGCGATTCGCCTGATGCAACAATTTCACGGATGGAGGGCGGGCGTCGTTTTCAACATGTGGCTCTCGACTTAGCGCCGCACGCATTCGTGCAACAAGTGCGCAGGAGCTTCACGAATGGAGGGCCGAGCGTTTTCAAAATGCTGTTCTCGCCAAAGCGCCGCGCACATTCGTCTTCACAGTTGCAAGAGCTTCACACATGGAAAGCGGGTATTATTCAAAATGTAGCTCTCGCCCTAGCGCCGAGCACATTCGCCTAACAAGTTCGCAGAAGCTTCACGGATGGAGGGCGAGTGATTTTCAAAATGTGGTTCTCGCCAGAGTGCCGCGAGCATCCTTTTTTCAACATTACGAGAACTTCACGGATCGAGGGCGGGATTTTCAATACATAGCTCTGGCCCTAGCGCCGCGCACATTCGTCAAAGAAGCTTGCACGGGCTTCACGGATGGAGAGCCGTTCTTGCCAAAAGGCGATCATGGCTTCATCGCTGCGCGCACTCGACTCGACACATCGAAAGAGCACCGCTCACAGTCGCCTCGAAATATTGAAAGAGCTTCACGGATGGACGGCGGGCCGTTCTTGCCAAAAGGCGATCATGGCATCAGCGCTGCGCGCACTCGACTCGACACATCGAAAGAGCGCCGCTCACAGTCCCCTCGCAAGGTTCAAAGAGCTTCACGGATGGACGGCGGGCCGTTCTCAGAATGCTGGCCCACCCTCCGCGCCGCGCGCAGCGGTTCCAACGTCTGCCAGAGCTTCACCGACGGCGGGCGGATCGTCTCCAACATGTGGTAATCTCGTGAGCGCCGCGAGCAGTCGTTCTGAAAATCGCAAGAGCTTCACAGATGGATGGCGGGTGCTTGCCCTGGGTCACTCGCGCTCGTCGTCGCCCAGGGCCGAGGCCGCGGCCGCGATCCCGAACGACTGGGCGCCATCCGGTCCGTTTCCAATCCGATCAGTTTTCGCTATTCGGTCCGGTTCAGGTCTGAGGGTCCTCAAAATGAGGTTCTGGCCTGAGCGCCGCGCACATTCGTCTGAAAAGGTGGCAAGAGCGTCACGGATGAAGAGGGCGTGCCGTTTTCAAGATGTGACTCTCGCCAAAGCGCCACGCACATTCGTCTTCAAATATTAAGACAAATCAGCGGATTCATTTAAGATTGTCAGCGCGCGACAGTCACGTTGATTCGCGGTGTTGACGTCCCAAGAACCGTAGCCTGGCACGATGCAGGATCGTCAGGTCGCGACAGTCAAGTTGATTCGCGGCAATGACGTCCAAGGAGTGGGGATTTTCCATGACTGCAGACTCTCACACGGTCATCTTGCAACGGAACCCTCCCCGCAGTATGAATAAATGCTTGCATGGTGGCTCTGAGCCGAACTGGTGACAATGAACTGGCGGCTTCTGAAACCGAAATGGCCGTACCAGAGCCACAACCGAACTGGTCGGAACCGGATCAATCGATTCGAACCGAACTGGTCAGCCGAAACCGGCCCAAATGGCCGAACCTGTTGGAACCCAACCAGCCGCCCCAGGACCCCCCAGGATCCTGGACTCCCGAGAAACCCACCAGAAACCCTCGAGGACCCTCAGGACCTCACAGAACCCCACAAGACCTCGCAAGACCCCGC